GTAATTGAACGCGGAAGCCAATAGGGAAATGGAACGTGCTGAAATTCCTACCAGAGGTTTGATTAGAATAAGATTAATTAGAATAAGATGTGTAACTGAACGCGGAAGCCAATAGGGAAATGGAACGTGCTGAAATTCCTACCAGAGGTTTGATTAGAATAAGATGTGGGCCACCGATGTTGAAAACAATAACTCGATTCAATTTCTATAAACACATGCAGATCTGCCACATCAATGTATACCTAATGAAAATGAGTCCTTTTACCTCCATGGCTCTTCCCCTGCAAGCTTCTGTCCCTGTTACAGCTATTTTTTACCTCCTTTTTTTCCAAAGTGGTAGTTAATCTGTCATGGCTCCGAATTACATATTTGATATGCTGAAATCTCTTCCATTTATTTACAAATTTTTACATGTGGTATGATTTTTAATTTTTACAATTTAGGGTGTAAACAATATTATATATATATAAATTTATATAGTACGTTTTGTTGGCTACAGTTTTTTTCAAGAACACTCGGAACCAAAGAAGTCAATCCCGTACCGTATCGACTGGTACGGCTGGTACGTATCGGTTTTGACACTTGACCAAAACGATACAACATTAAATTTCGTTTCGGTCAAAATCCGATCGTTCCGGTCAAAATCCGGTGTATCGGCCGGTACACAAAATTTCGGCCGGTACACTTCATGCCCCCCAAAAAAAAAAAAAAAAGATTTCCTTGCCCAAAACGATGTCGTTTTGGTCAAGGGCTTTGCCCTCCGATCGAGCATACTTTGCGAACATACTTTGCCCTCCGATCGAGCAATTTCAGATCGAGCATACTTTGCGAACATAGCCTTGCCCTCCGATCCGACCCTCTTCACCGGTGGTGCAGGGCGTGCAGCTGCTGCTGCTCCTCCTTCCTGTTTTGTGAATCGGCGCCCTAGATCTTAGACTTGGTGAACCGGTGATGCAGGGCTAGATCTTGCATCTTGTTTCTCTTCACCCGTCTCTAGCAACCGAGCTTCATCTCCAGCAGCCGAGCTTCGTCCCCAGCAGCCGAGCTTCGTGTCCAGCAACCCAGCTCTGTCTCCAGCAACCCAACTCCGTCTCCAGCAGCCTAGCTCCACACATCTGTCCGTCCCTGCATTTCTCGGGCTTTGATGGAACTTTAGAAGGTTTTACTTAAGCCCTCCTGCCGCCGAACCATCTTCTAGTTCGAGTTCAAATTTATTTGAACCTTCAATCTAACTCTGTATATGTAATGCTTTAAAGGTAAACTATAAAATTTAAAAGAATTTTATATTTTATTATTTAAATTACGTTAAATTATAAAATAAAATAATCATACGAAAAAAAAACTCCTAATATTACAATATTTTTTACTTTTAGTTTAAATTTTATAAATTTTTTTATTTAAAAAGAAAAAAATGGGTAAAACATGCTTGAGGAAAACTGTTTTTCTAACATTTGGTTTGAAACCAACAAGAAAACATATTTTAAGTTAAGGATATTACATGAAGATGAGCTCATGTTTTTGGGAATCCCATATTAGATGGTCTATCTACGTGTTGGTTTGAATGAGCATATATGTACGTAGGGGTCTTGTATAACTCAACACGTGTGGTGCAGAGGAAAGGGATTCAGCTGTTGATCAGCTAGCTCTAGAGCTACCATGATATTTTTTTACAAGGTATTGATTTGTGTCTGATATTTTTGAACCGACTTCCAAAATCCAAATAAACTAGCTAAATTGAATATGATTTTTTATTATCTGTTTAACCATTATTATCATCTTAATGTTTTTAAGTTAAAGTATCTAAAGGATTTTTGCTTGAGTTATAATGGAGTTTAAGTTAATGGTTGAAGAAAGAAAGGATTATACCGACTTAAAAGGTTTTCTCAAATCTTGTTCTTAATTATGTTAATTTCTTTTGTAATTATTCTAAATTTTGATATTTAATTTATAAAAATATATATTTATAGCGATAAATCCGAAACGGTATGCGAAAAATTCCAGTATCCGATACGTACCGTTTCAGTA